AAGGTATCAAAGGAGCAATAACTTTAACAAGTCAGGAGATTCTGGGTCGCAAGAAGTATTTTGATAACTTGAAATATACCTTTCGTCTTCGCTTCAACCATTTACGGTCATATATAGAAAAAATAATATAGAAAATCGTAGGACTAACTTCAACATGTCAGAAGGTTCTGGGTCGCAAAAACTATTTTGATAAGGAATAGATCTCTATGGAAACCTTGGATAAGATTCAAGAAGGCAGCAACTAACAGTAGTCGATCGCGAGCAGAGAAATTCAAGGCCCACGCAGAAGCAAACAAGCAAGTGAAGAAGTAAATTCGAGCTGACAAGCAGAAATACGTGGAAAACCTGGCAAGGACAACGAAAAAAAGCCGCAAGAGATGGAAATATCAGACAGCCATATGATATAACGAAGAAACTGGCACGGAAATATAGTAAACCATAGAGACCAATCAAAGAGGAAGAAATCAAGACAATCAGTGAGATTCAAGAACACAGAAACAGATGGGTAGAACACTGAGGAACTCTTGAATAGGTTAGTTCCATTGGATTTACCGGACATCAAAGCAGCACCTACAGACATTCCTATCAATGTCACTCCACCAACGATCGAAAGAATCAGGATGACCATCATACAAATCGAGAGTGGGAAAGCAGCAGAACCTGACAACATATCAGCTGAAGCACTGAATTCAGACAGAAGCAACTGTAAAGATGCTCCACATTCTATTCAGGAAGACTTGGGGGGAGGAACAAGTGATGATAGACTGGAAAGAAGAATATCTCATCAAGGAAGAAAAAAGGAGATCTGTGAACAAATATGGAAACTACAGATGCATCACACTACTGTCGGTACCAGGAAACGTTTTCGACAGAGTGCTACTGAACTGGATGAACGATTCAGTAGACACCCAACTTCGAGATCCACAGGTTGGATTCCGTAAGGGCTGGTCGTGCATAGACCAAATCGCGACACTAAGGATCATCGTTGAACAATCAATTCAGTGGAACTCGTCACTATACATCAACTTCATGGACTATGAGAAGGCGTTTAACAGTGTGGATAGGAGAACCTTATATAAACTTGTTCGAGACTATGGTGTACCTGAGAAGATAGTCAACATCATCCGAAATTCATACGACAGACCTCACGGCAAAGTCGTGCATGGAAGACAGCTGACAAACGCATTCCAAGTGAGGACCGCAGTCAGACAAGGCTGCTTACTCTCCCTCTTTCTTCTGGTGGTCGACTGGATTATGAAGACCCCGGCATCTGAGGGAAGGCATGGAATACAATAAATAGCTTGGATGCAACTAGGCAATCTCGACTTTGCAAATGACCTGGCTTTTCTATCCCATTCACGCGAATAAATGCAGGTCAAGACAACCAGTGTAGCAGAAGCCTCTGCATCAGCAGGCCTCAACATACGCAAGGGAACATGCGAGACCCCGAAATACAACACAGCGAGCACCAACGAAATCATACTTGATGGAGAAGCCGTGGAAGAGGTGGAAACTTGTCATGTAAGGGAATTTGATACGCGAGAGATTTGATCCCAAAGAAGAGCCCCTTACACATACGGTTGACTGCAAAAGGATTGCATTATACACTTGCATTACGAAACCCAAAAGTATTGGAGATTAAAATATTACAAGCGCCTATTCCCATCAGCTATATAGGTCTATCTCTCCGTATTGCTGCAAATATAAAGAAAAGCAGTCAACGTCCAGCAAATAGCTTACTAAATATAATTCCTAACATCACAAGTAAAGTCGTTTAACTTTATTATGAATTATGGTTGCAGTTTAATTGACTGTTATTTCGCAAAGGAAACTCCTGTGTGTATCAAGACTTTGGCATGTCCCGTCTATAAACAAGTGTAATAATATCTGAGCTCGTGGACAACTAATCAAATAATGTTCCCTGTAACAAGAAGTCGTTCTTGAATTTCTGGCCTTGTTATGTTAAATTTTCAAACTTGAGGTGATATTCAGTATTGATGTTTCTGCGTGAGCACAGTCCATATCAAAAATTTGTGTATGGGTAGTATTTCTCATAATTTCAGCAAAAGTTTAAAATCTATTTGACATCATCTGTCAACTCGTTCTTCGTCTAGGCAAACAACACAGAAGGACCATGTCCACAACTAAACTACATTTCATAAACAACAATTCAATTTTGATAGGTAGCCAGATAATTCAATCCTTTGTATTGACGAAATTATGGTTTTTATGTGTTCGCTTACTTACGTATTTGATGACATTTTGTTCAATTTCTTGTGTACTTATCAATAAATTTTGTTAAGAGGTCCTAAATCAAGAGAAATAAACTTTTCTTTGCTTCTTGGCTATCATCAATAGTTTGTATACGACTCATCTCATGCATATTTAATTGTTTTCTTTTCTTTTGTTAGTATACAATTACGTACTTACACGGAATATGGATATACCACGTCAAAAATAATTCATGGACGTACACTGTCTAACAGTACGTTTGTATATCAGTAATAAAATAATCACTTTATAAGTACGTTAATTCGTTGTTACACTGTAAAATATATTGATTGAAATATGTTGGCGAAGTAAGCAGAAAACAGACAGACACATTTATCAGCTTTTTACGACATTTGGCATTCGTAAGCAAAATTTATCCCCAATCGTAAGAAAGGTTATGTGTATCTTGGAGATCAGACCTTGATCACCCGATTGTCACAATCAAAACCATTTTCAATAATCTACTTCTTAATCTTATTACCACACAGCTACTTAAATAGTCTTGAATATATTTTATATAACGTAGTGAAACAAATAAGACAAAAGATATAATAGTGTGTACATGTCGTATAAGCTCGTTAATTAATCTTTCCACCAGTTATTTCATCAACACATGTCACAACATGTTGTGTTTGATGTTCAAAAGTATGATCAATTAAAAACTTATTAGTAACACAACTAGATTCATATTGCCTCAATTACAACATTTAACTTAAATGTCTCTGACAATACTATTAAGCTACAAAAACCATTCCCATCGTTGATACAGAATCAGTGGTATGGTTTATTGTTCATTATAATAAAAAAAATATTTGGTACTATATAGTTAAACTTTAACTATTGATCTATTCCCTCATAAACTTTTTTTTCCATTTCAAATGTATGGTATTACTTATTAGCTACTATCATTTTGATCACATGTTGTATCTTGTGGTCATTGTTCATATTGGCTATATCCTCATTCGGTTTATTATATTATCGTCTTATTGAAAGAAGCACTATCCCCAAGAATAATGATATTTATAATAATATCGCAAGGGGAAAAATCAATAATAAATCAATAATTAATGAAGATATTTATTCACAGAAGATAATGGATCGGTTAGTTTTGTTATTTTTTCTTAAATAAACGAAAGAAAAATAATCATTTCATAGCTATATTTCTGCATTTTCCGAAAATATTTTCGATTCAAAGATAGAAGATCGGCGTCACATGAAGCATTAATGAGAACCAGAGTACATCAGATAGATGTTCCATTCTAGCTTGTACTCACAACTCTACAATGGATTAAAAACTGGACCATTGAATCGTTATAACGTCGCCTTAGAGTATCATACGCACTACGAAATCAGAAAATCTGTAGGTTGGTAAATTCACATTGTTTAGCAGTCCCTAGCCAAAGCAAAATAACCAGTGGTCTGTGTTTCTCATTAATGCCACAGTTAATTCTAGTCTGTAACAAAAACTATTTTTATGATAAAATTTTCTACATAAACCATCAAAGCGAACACTGGGTGTAGCTGTTTAAATTTAATACGATGATTATTATCAATTGTCCTCTTTGGCCAGTTTAATTATTTTGTAATTTGAGTTAAGATATATCTAATCTATTCATCATATGCAGTGTGGAATTCTAAAATGTATGCATATAATACTCAGTATATTGATTCAATAAAGTAATAATTATACAACCTTAATAGCTAATGTACAGGATAATAATTTTTACATCGTTGGTGTATCTTTAGTTAAACCATCTCTACTAATAAAATATTGAATATATGGTTTATTAATGTCAGATGTACTACTCATGAGTGATAGATTGTTATTCATTTAAGTAATTTTGGAAACACTCAAACGATCAGTTTACATTGAGGTGATAAATTCTGCGTTGCATTTTAAGATGAAATCAGAAATACTTAACACTTGGACGTGCTCAGTCACGTCAAATCAGTTGTTATAGATTCGGTTAATTAGGCGAGAGTATGATTTATGGACGAACCCATGAGATTTAAAATAATGGGTCGAGTTTTATGTGAAATTTATTTATGCGTTTGGCCAAATAGTGGAATCGGTAAATGACTAAATATAGTTTTACATCAAAATGAATTTCACTTTTTGGAACATGGTACCATGTTTCAATCTGGTAATTTTTTCTAAATTTTATGTCTGTTGTGATCAACTTCATGTAGATGGTAGCCTAATTAAATTAATAAACAATAGGACATTAATGAATTAGCCTAGTGTCTTTCATTAGTTTGGCAATTCATTAACACAGAAATTTAGTTATGTTGAATCCATCTTGTTCCACTTTTTAATCTCGACTTTAATTCGCTACCTAATATGAAGTTATAGCATCAGAACTATCAATTGTCTTTAGAACAATAATTGTGAATTTATTTGATGAATAACGATCAAAGCAGAATCAATCGTTTCACATCTTTCCAATGAAGTTGGACATACTTATCATTGGATTTCCAATCAGTTATTTAAAAATGTTGATGCTCACTGTGAGGTTTGGATTGATCCGGCAAACTAGTTCCATAAAAGGGTGAAATAACTATCCAGTGCTTTCTGTTTTTATATATTAATTTTCTTACTGATTTCATTTCGTAATTTAAAAAGAAGTTAAAATATATTCACATCATAAATCCTAATGTAGACAATTCAGAATGATATATTATTTTACTGATTATGACAATTAAAAGTTTTCGAAAGCAAGTGAACTTACCATCTGGAAATGTGTACACTGTAATTGGGATCGATTCATTACTGTATATACCATAAATTGAGTCGATCGATTTCATATATACTGTGTAGTTAATACCAGGTAATAATGAAGTGATGATATATTCATTACAATGATTAGAGGAAATATGAGATTGTGTGAATAGATCATTTATCTTTAAAGTAGGACGATAATATATTAAATAATATTTAATTATAAATGCAGAATCTTGTACTGGTTCAGTCCATTTAACAGTAAATTGATTAGATAAAATATTGGTTACAGTTAGATTAGTTGGTGCATTTGGTTCTTGTAGAAATTAAAAGTAAAAAAAGAATTTGAAAGTAAGGAGTTTCAGTAAGTGCTAATAGCTCGAATTCATAATAATAATAATAATAATAATAATAATAATAATAATAATAATAATAATAATAATAATAATAATAATAATAATGCTCAAAAAATGTATTTGTAATAATATTCACTTGATAATCCAGTAGTTAGACATCAGGTATTGAAAGACTTTAGTAAGTCAAATGTAGAATTTGTAATTAAAACATTGAATTGATTAGTAAAATGTTATAAAATAAAATATATTACATTAATGTTTATGATTCATCTTTACTTTCAACAAAAGTGATTTTCATGCAACGTTGTGAAAGTTTTGAAAGCGATCTTCAGAACTAACTTGACATCAACTGAAGAACCACTGGAACCAGCATGTAATAGGCACTTTATTAGTTATCGCGAAATACGATTGCCAATTTAGATACGCTGACTTATACGACCGAACTAATGATGCATACACCAGTACAGACAGCCTCGAGTTCTGATTGGTCTTTTTCCCTGCCTGTTTAGTCCAAAACGCCAATCTCAACCTAAGCGATACCAATCATATACTTCAAACAGTTTATATACAAGCAAAATCAGACAACATCACACCATAAAATAAAAATAAAAAATTTTACAAGATCAAGCCAAAAGAGTCGGGGATAATGAGAATCTGTGACTAATAGATTGAGAATAACTTGCGAATAGTAAATCATACAACAGTTATCCAATAAGTCAAATAAAAGCTTGTAATGAAAAGAATATGAATATACATATAATATAGTTACTTAATAGTCATACAATAAGAATATTCGTATAATATTAGTCCATAAATAATTACCATTCATTTATTCTCGTCCGGATATAGCAAAAACCATTTAAAATGATGTATGAAAAAGACCTACGTGATGGATAGGTTGTTGCACTTATAGCATTAGACACATCACTATGTAATCCATACACAGAATCCTCAGATCTCATATACAAAGTGTATTGTCTTCCCGGTATCAATGATGTCAAAATAAGTTCATTCGAAACATCACAAATTCTGTACTCGTCCAACCCACTCATAAGATGGATCGATTCACGTTTGTACACCCAAAAACAGTGAACATCAAAGGCTGGATGTTGTGGTGGATTTTGCCAGTGTAAGGTCAGTTTGTTCGGTGATATATGGCTGATAGATAGATTGACCGGTGTATTTGGACCTAACAAGGAAAAAAAACGCTGTTTTAATTCTACTAAAAATTAAGCATGATTTTAAAAAGTTTGTATTTAGATATCACCATTTCGCGTTTTTTCGTCTGGTATATTTACACCAAAACATATAAATAAGTTGTGCAGTAATGAAACAGGTACTGCTTAGAACCAACTACATGACTGAACAAATATTATTATTTAGTTGAAATAAAACACGGCAAAATAGGATTTATTCTTTTCATCCTAGTTTTTAATTATCAGCAAAAAGCGGTAAGACCAACGTCAGTGTCATTAATTTTGATTTCTATAAAAGTGTTATACAGTATCCCTTCGTCTAATATATTTATCGTTAAATATAAAAGTATTTGGCCAACAGAAATCTTTATCGAAGTTGTATGATTTATACCCATTTTAAATCGGTAGTAGTATACAGTAAAGTTATCACAACTATACAGATTTTATTAGTGGTTCACAAAAAACCTAAGAATAGTTTACGTCTTGTCAAACCTTAGTTCAGGTATGTCCATTTTACTCTAATCAGCTAATACAAGATAAAATACCGGTTAATATGTTAGACTCTTAATTAAACATTAAATTCCAAAATATCTGGCTAGTTACATCTTATTCAATTTTGTGCTAGAGATTCTTATTGTTCCGTTTTACTATTTAAACTTAAATAAATTTTGATTTGGTTATTTATTCTCTGAAGAACTGGCTTACACTGAGTCACCAAACGTCAGAAAATCTAATTTTCCTACTTGTTAGGATATTACAAATATATTATCTATCGATTATTTAAGTTGCTTCCTTCACAATAAGCTTTCACATGGTCTATTTTTAGGAACTATCAGTGAAACATTTTATACATTCATTTATTCAAAACTACATATATTAGTAATCGATTACATGATGTCCCTATATGATTTGTACGATTATATTTTAAAAACGTTTTCCTCATTTGTTTAACGTGCAATCATTTACAATTCAGCACATATATTGTAGTGCTGTAACTACTGATATATATATATATATATGTAACATAATATTCAGTCACAACATAGTAACTAATAGTATGTTATCTAGTATCGAGTGCCGGTAGAATCAAATCCTACTACGAGTGTCAATTATCAAACGCTAACAGTCATAACACTAAGAAACTCCACCTGGAGCTCTTCGATAGTTACTGCCGGTCGCAAACCCAGGTAAATGAAGAGGGTTGGGAATAGGGTCAGCAACCCCATCTCGTAGTAAACAACCTTGCTAAACAAACACCAACCAAAATAAACAATTTAAACTATGCCGTGGAAGTTGAAGGATCTTCATTCAGAAGAATTATGAACCCTCATGATGAAAGCCGATATTCTTCGGAAGTCACGAGGCCGATCACCCCTCTGACAACCAGAGAAACAATTAATATATGTACACGGAATGTTCCGACAATGTGGAAGACCGGGAGGATCAGTCAAACAGCAATAGATATGAGGAGATGCAACTTGGGGTTTCTCGTAATCATTGAAAACTATCGGAACCAAGCTGGACAGCGAAAGATAGATACGGGAGAGAGGCTAATGTACTCCGATCACGAAGAAAAAAGTCCTCTACACACTAAGGCAGTTGCTCTGATGCTGTCCAAAGAGGCACGTAAAGCACTTATAGGATGGATATTTCACGGATCCAGGATAATCAAAACATCATTCAAAACAAAGAAGAAAGGAATCACAAGGAATGTTATCCAATGTTATGCATCAACCAATGATAACAACGACGACGATAAAGGACAGTTCTATGAGAGGCTGCAATCGATCATAGCGAAATGCCCAGCAAAAGATCTGACCATCCTGAATGGAGACCTGAACGCCGAATTCGGAATAGAAAACATGGGATACGAAGATACCACGGGATGACATAGACTAGGAGAGCGAAGCGAGAATGGTGGGAGATTTCCAAACCTATGTGCATTCAATAAATTGGTTGTAGGTGGCACAATATTCCTTCATAAAGCTACATCGGTCTTACCGGATCACACCACAGAGAATCAGATCGATCACATTTGTATTTATGGAAGACTTGATGACCAGGAGAGGAACCGACATAGCTTCAGATCACCACCTGTTGGTTGCCAAGATGGAACTGGAACTAAAGAAGAACTATCAACTGAAGGAACAGCAGTAGAAAATTTCAACACAACCTTCCTACGAGATACTGACAAACTCATCGAATTCAGGTTAGTCCTCAACAACAGGATCTACTGAAGGAAGAAGAAACTACAATAAAGGACAATTGAGAAGGTATCAAAGGAGCAATAACTTTAACAAGTCAGGAGATTCTGGGTCGCAAGAAGTATTTTGATAACTTGAAATATACCTTTCGTCTTCGCTTCAACCATTTACGGTCATATATAGAAAAAATAATATAGAAAATCGTAGGACTAACTTCAACATGTCAGAAGGTTCTGGGTCGCAAAAACTATTTTGATAAGGAATAGATCTCTATGGAAACCTTGGATAAGATTCAAGAAGGCAGCAACTAACAGTAGTCGATCGCGAGCAGAGAAATTCAAGGCCCACGCAGAAGCAAACAAGCAAGTGAAGAAGTAAATTCGAGCTGACAAGCAGAAATACGTGGAAAACCTGGCAAGGACAACGAAAAAAAGCCGCAAGAGATGGAAATATCAGACAGCCATATGATATAACGAAGAAACTGGCACGGAAATATAGTAAACCATAGAGACCAATCAAAGAGGAAGAAATCAAGACAATCAGTGAGATTCAAGAACACAGAAACAGATGGGTAGAACACTGAGGAACTCTTGAATAGGTTAGTTCCATTGGATTTACCGGACATCAAAGCAGCACCTACAGACATTCCTATCAATGTCACTCCACCAACGATCGAAAGAATCAGGATGACCATCATACAAATCGAGAGTGGGAAAGCAGCAGAACCTGACAACATATCAGCTGAAGCACTGAATTCAGACAGAAGCAACTGTAAAGATGCTCCACAATCTATTCAGGAAGACTTGGGGGGAGGAACAAGTGATGATAGACTGGAAAGAAGAATATCTCATCAAGGAAGAAAAAAGGAGATCTGTGAACAAATATGGAAACTACAGATGCATCACACTACTGTCGGTACCAGGAAACGTTTTCGACAGAGTGCTACTGAACTGGATGAACGATTCAGTAGACACCCAACTTCGAGATCCACAGGTTGGATTCCGTAAGGGCTGGTCGTGCATAGACCAAATCGCGACACTAAGGATCATCGTTGAACAATCAATTCAGTGGAATTCGATCACATTTGTATTTATGGAAGACTTGATGACCAGGAGAGGAACCGACATAGCTTCAGATCACCATCTAGTGGTTGCCAAGATGGAACTGAAGCTAAAAAGGAGCGGACAACTGGTTAGTATTTATCTCTTTTTATTATTATGGGCTGAAGTTGACTCATCAAGATTGCCATGTGTGCTTCTTGAAGAAATACCTTCTGGATATAAACAGTAGTAATTGAAGTGCTTAGTGAATTGCTCTGTGATTTTCATTAATTTTCAGCAAAATTCATATTATTTAAACTATCTTAATTGTTATAACTAAATTTATATATTTGTACTATTCCAATGAGTAGAAAAATCAAATTTTCTGATGTTTCATGACGCAGTGTAAGCCACTTCTTCAGAGAATAAATAACAAAATCGAAATTAACACACATTTATAGAAAATCTACCCAATGCTCAGTTTATTCGAAATTATCAAGTCAAACCTTGGTAATGATACCTATTTTAATGGTTGTTTTATGTCCTTGTACTGTCAGTAGAGACTTGAAAAGGAAACACTGAGAATACGAAAATCATGCTTACCATTAGGTAGTGTTTCGGCTGTAGACTTCGTGTAAATATCATTGATATTACCAAATGGAGAAATCAAATTGATACTATATGTATAAGTAGTCAATGGTTTCAGATTGTAATATATAAAAGCTAACAAAGAAAAATGACAAAAAATTATTTTAAAAATGTTTAACAATGATATCATCAATAATTAAGATTTATTTTTATCGCATGTTATTCATAATTATTAAGATTAAAAACCGTAGTTTTGTATGAAGCCATAAAAAATTAAAACAAGAAACAATTTAGTGTTACTTCTGAATTGTATAGTATTTAAGAGATATATGTTAAAATATACGTAAAATGCACAGACCTTCTTGAAATATTTGCAGGCCTAATAAAGTTGTATTGAAATTTTAACTGAAAGTCTGTTAGATATAATTGAATCACATTTACTCGGCTAAATAATGTATGCTTAAGAAATTGAGAAATTCTAAATTCATTTAACGGTTTCGTGTTTCATCAGTATGACAAGTGTTTAGAAATCAGAAGATACCAATGTTATATTGGCTAATAGATGGGTGGTGGTTAATAGAAGTGTGAGGTGAAAACTACATTTCAAAATCTCTTAATTAGTGATGAGCATTGAAATCAACTGACGATCATAAGAAATGATCTGACAAGCACGGCATTTGTTCATAATCTTTCAACCGAACACTTGACAACTAACTGAATCATCAAAATGATCAAAATTGTAAAACTAACAATGTAGGGTGCGTTCTTCTAGAGTGATTGCTTAAGTCAAGCCATTTTTGTACCAATTATTTAGGTATATAAAATGAATTACCAAGCGTTTTCACAATGATTACACTTTCTTTAAAAGCTCTCAGTTTGTACCTTAAGTCTGGAATAAATTAGATATCCTACATTTATATGCTTTCAGGAAATTGATTTCCCATTAGATGATAGATTTTTTATTAAGAATCTCTTATCCACAATCTCTAAATCGGTTGCCTAGACCTTACAGAAGATCAGAAAGTACTCTAAACAGTTTGGTATTAAAGTCTTTGACTACAACACTGAGTGATATGGTTTGGAATTACACCCCTTAGAATCGCAGATAAGTCAAAATGAGGAATTTTAGCTTTTACTAAGCCTAGTTACAGAACGTCTAATCAGTGGTTTTCAATCATTTGCTAATATTTTACTCGATGTAGTGGGTAAATTGCTTTATTTTAAAAGAACAATGCTGTAGCAAAGAGCTATTCTCAGTAGTTATATTTATACATATTCAGGAAAAATGTAAATGAAATCAATGTACAAAGGTTATATTTAATAAAAGTGAGTTAAACAAAATCATTCTATAAATAACATAAAACAAACGATCTAATAATAACCCTTTTCTAATTATTAAACAATTAGTAATCAATGTTTATCTCATAGATTTAGGCAAAATTATAGGTTTTTTATATTGACTAACTACTGAGTAAGGACAAATGTCAAACTCCTTTAGTCTCTAATGCTTATCAGATTTTATTAAATAGCAATATGCCTCTAGTTCAAACGATTTGATATCGTGCCTACAATGTTTTGATATAAATTGGTTAAAAATAGCTGCAGGAAATCCTATAAAAAATAGTTTGATGGGATAAATAATTTTCAACTAATAAAAAGGGGGAAAATGTTTTCAATAATTTTCTTAATGCAACTTACTAGTTTTATTCACAGATAATTCGACCGTCAAACAATTATATGATAGATGACTACATTGAACTAATTCTAAATAGGATTTACACTTGTTCATTAAGATAGGATCGTTCAATTTAATCCATCTCAAGTGTTGCATATTTCTGCCAAGGTTTGTAATTTTTATGAGAGTTTTCTTTGAAATGTCTGAAATGTTCAAGTAATAGAACAGTCAAATAATGTCAACCATTCAAAATTATAGGACAAACCTTCTTGCAATATAAGTTCTAACTTATTTAAAAATTATGCTCGGCAGACATTTGCAAAGTACTCTGGAAGGATTACGCACATTCATTTACTTTCAATTCAGTTGAATTATTCGAAAACTAATGAAAATATACAGTGGGACTTAAATATGCACCGACAGTTTTAAAAAAGATCCCGAAGTTAACAAAACAGATACCAAGTGATATAGTCAAGTAGAGATTGCTATATCTAACAAAAATAAAATTTATGTGGTGATTTCAGCTCCTTAGGAAGATGAATTGAAGTAAGAAAACTCTTCTAGTATTATACATGTACAAAATATTCATGACTTATTATCCACTGTCCCTGTTCAGAAGGCAATCCCGAACAAGCAATTAAATGTTTGGGTCGACATATAAAAATACGGTGGCGCAACTTCGTGGATTGGTTGAAGTTAGACATCAACACCGTTGGATGCCAGCTCAGTGGTCTAATGGTTAAGTTCTCGCGCGCGAAACCAGTAGGTCCTGGGTTCGAATCCCGTGAGGTACGGGTTCGTGGATGCGCACTGCTGAGGAGTCCCATACCAGGACGAAACAGCCGTCCAGTGATTCCAGGTTTTCCATGGTGGTCTAGCTTCAATTGATTCATGATTTCAACTTGTGAAATTTCTAAAAATCTCCACAAAACCCATTCTGATAATAATAATATAAATTTCTCTACAAGGCCTTTACGAACAATCGCAATGAAACAGATATGAACGATTTATTTATATATGTGTAGTGGATTACCTTCTTAAGGCTTCGCATATCACTCGTCCTGATAATCGTTATCAGAAAACTCCCAATGGTGTATAAATTTCAAAATGCAATACGAAGTGTCAACTACAGTTAATTACTGTACAGCCCAGATCACTAGGCCACAAGCATACAGCAAAGCGAATCCGAGCACAAGTGAGAGCAAATACAGAGAATATAGAGTCAAATAAATTAAGCAGATTCAACCATATATATATATAAAATTTAGGGCTATAGTTTGTTCGTACAGCGGTTAGACGATTAATTGTTTACTGCAATACCAGCGTGTTTATAAATATTCCGACGAGGAGGAAGAGTCGTTGGTTGTCGCGAAACATTTTTTTCAATGCTCGATAAATTTCGTTGATTCTACATGTGATTTTTGTCCGAGATGAAAATTGTCATTAGCAGAGCAACAGCGCGTCATATATTGATATTGCATTTCCCTGTCATTTTATTTATATTCAATTAAATGCATTGTACATTTCAACGATAATGGGAAACAGAAACGTATAGCATAGCGTTTATAGATATAATACTATTTATTTATCTGAACACATAAATATTGGTACGAAGGTGCACCGAATACATATGCGCCACACAAGTCACTTGATTAGTGCATCGGCTGTGACACTGCCCGGGTTCCAACGCCACCCAGCCAGAACACTCTACTCGACGTTACCTCTCCGCACCAGACCGCCCCCCACTGGCACCTCAGCTCCAAACCCGAAACGGCGTCCGCAAAACAGCACCCTTCCCCCTCCTGGTCGGCAGCGATACAAAATGTGGAGAGAGCCGACACTCCCCACCCTCGGCCATACAAGGACATTTGGGGGCAACATTACGTTTACTCATAATGATTTGATATTTTAATTTCCGTTGCTTTCCTCAAGTATGTGTGTTATATCTAGAGCTTATATTCTTGATATACCACGTACAAATTGAGCACTAGAACGCTAGAACTCTCCGAGTCACAAGTGAAAAAACAGAAGACGAGTGAGAAGAAATGTTATTCAAAACAGTACTAAATATGGTACAAAACTCTCAGGTATTTAAAGTTCTTAGTAAAAACGAAATCATCATTATAGTCATCTAATTCGCGTACAGTGGTTTTAAGCATTTGTACAATAGAGTAGTTGAGCGTCGAGATTTTGGAATGTTCCTTCAAAAGATTATTAGACAGAAAATCTTTGACTCTTTTCGAGCTTCTTAGAGCTTCCTCGAGTTCACCCGTGGGATGTCCTCACTGTGTTCTAACATTTGGCGGAGGATGACGATATGATCAATACATCCTTGACCGGAACGAAAACCAGCCTGCTACTCGCGAGTCAATCTTTCTCGGGTTTTGAACAACCTACAAAGTATGACAGAAGCCAACAGCTTGGACGCAATCGGAAGTAGACTTATCCCCCGATAGTTGTTGCAGGAACGACGTGAACCCTTTTTAAAGATAGGGACAACTATCGACTCATTCCATGACATTGGAACACTCTCTAGTTCCCAAACCTTTTGCAAACAAAGTAGTCAGTTCCTTAACCAGAAAGTCACCAGCATCTTTAAAATGAGCCGGAGGTAGATCATCTGGGCCCGATGATTTGTAGCGTTTCAGGAGTTGGAGTTCCTTGTGGACTTTCACCTAATTTGGTGGATCAGTCGTCACCGGCCATGGAGGGCAGGACAGTCTGACCGATGTTACCGGAGCAACAGGCCAGTTGAACTGCCCTTCGAAGAACTCTGCCGATCGTCCAAGACGTCGATGGATGTTAGTGATTAAAATCCCGTCATCCTCACAGATTGTTTAGCTCACACCAGAATCCTTGCTGCCAGTGACTCGGATGAGTTGGTGGAGCTTCCGGCGGTTACCAAATGCAGCTGCTGCTCCCAACTCGTTAGCACTTTCCGACCACCAGGCTTCTCGATCCTTACGCAAGCTTTAAACAACTTCATTTCGGAAATCTTCGTTTGTGGTTAAACTCGCAGTCACCCGGAGCAGACCGACGGGCTTCAAGGAGTTGTAAGGAGCATGAAGAAACCCAGTGCTTATAATGGGGACGTTTTGCAAACCCACAGCCGACTTTACTCGTCATTTTCATGGCGTCATGCAACTGCAACCAATGCTCATCTATACTTTTCGGTGGAATGGTAGCTAGCCTAGAAGCTAGCTCAGTTCGATACTTACTAGCAACAGAAGTTGCAACCAGCTTGCTAACATCAATCCTTTGGTGGCGATCACTTCGTTGGCCATTGAAAAGTAAGGTAAGATTGGCGCGGAATAGGGCATGATCAGAGTTCAGATAGGTACTCCAAAAGGAGCGACAGTCTTGTACACAACCACGCCAGTGGTAGCTGATCGCGATGTGATCAATCTGAGTCCAGGCTTGAGATGCAGAGGGAGGACGCCAGGTGGTACATCGGCGATGACTGTGCCAAAATTTAGTGCTAGCCAGAAACAGGTTGTGGTCTGTGCACAGTTGCAGTAGACGGTCCCCGTTATCTGTCCTGCGACCAACAAGTCCCCATCGGCCACCTAAACGATACTCTTCTGTGCCTAGACGCCCAATCCAATTTTGTAAAATACTTGCTACAATTTAACTTAGTGATGAGATCTTAAGGTAATGGATACTGGCTAGACTCTAGTAATTCATTTAGTCTAGCGGAGTAATCTGAGCATGATCGAACGCCACCGTTGGGTTCATAGACCACCACTATTGGTACAGCTCAATTCGAGAAGTTCACAGGTTCAATAATACACATTTTTAGGAGCCGTTCTAGTTCCTGTTCAACTACAGGGAGAGCAGCATAAGGCACAGGTCTTTTAGGTCGACAAACGGGAGAAGCTCCAGGTCTGAGGGTTAGTAATGCTTTAGTTATTGTACATTTTTCCAAACCTTTTGTAAACATGTGGTGGTGTTTTTGTAACATGGCTTTCCAATATGCATCCAGGTTCTTCGGCTAATGAATGTAGTGTCAGGGCAGTGTCGAGCTGCAGGCGGGCATGTTGGACATCAATCTTGATGATTACATATTACATATGACCAGCATGGAGATCAGAGCTGGTTATTTGTGCGCGATAATTTTTCTGAGCCGGAATCTTTCTTTTCGCTTATGATGTGGATGTATGACAGCCGTCCATTACTTTCAATCATAGAGGTGTCATGTTTCAATTCTACCAATCTCCGTGGTTACTTCTTGTAGCGTTATGCTCGGACACTTCAATTTCACTCAAAATTCTGGTTCTGATATCAGCATCTTCAGGAGATCGGAGATCGCATACAAACACAAGGCAATTAAAGTGGTTTTCCGTCACTGTTGACAATTTAGAACGCTCAAACTCGCGATTTACTAGGGTAGCATGCTGCACCCAGTCATCGTCGCCAGATTTTGCTAACTTCAGACACTGGTAACGAATTTTAAACAAAGATGAGTGCTCATCAAAAGTTTGCAACAAAATTACGACCGTTTTATCAAATGAAAGATCTCTGGGATTCTTGGGGAGAATGAGGTTGATGTAGCGTTCAAGTTCAGCTGTGCCAAATCTGTGTAGTAGTATCCTGACATTTGTAGTATAATCAAGCGTTGCTAGTTGAACCGTGAATACATCTTTATATTTCTTCAACCAGGATTCGAACGTAACACCAGCCAAATCATCACACGAAATCCGTGGATAGAACAAATGATATGGTCGACACGGGATCTGAATTAACCGTCGGTAAGGCTCATTCGATTTAAGTTTATTTGCTGGATTAGATGATTGAACAGGATGTCTTTAGTTCGCTCTGAGCTTATCAGAGCTTCCTAGAATTAACCCTGAGGCCAGCCTCACAATGGATATATATATATATATATATATATATATATATATATATATATATATATACTCAGTGTTTTTTTCAATCTAGTTCGGAGATGCTATTTCTCTCCGATCAAACTTTGTAGGGGGCCACGGATACCCAAATATGTGGAAATTTTATTCGTTCGTCTTCTTTTACGTAAAAGTAACAATTGTCGCCTTTTAGTTTCAGTGTTTTTAAGCGAAACATATAGTTCAGTACAGATCCTCTAATGAATTCTACAAAATATACGTTTTGTTAACAACTTTGAATATTATCAGAATGGGGTTTTGGGGATATTGTAGTAATTTTTAATAGTTGAATTCATGAATCGATTGGTCGCCCGCCAGAGCGAATGTCCTGGGTCCGAGTCCCGAGTGCGGGATCGTGGATGCGCATTGCTGAGGAGTCCCGTACTAAAACGAAACGGCCGTCTAGTGTTTCCATAGTGGTCTAGCTTTAATCAACTCATGGATTCAACTTTGAATATACAATTAGTGGTAAACAAAATGGTGCGATGGCATTCTTTAAAGTAAATCTTAAAACTGGTGACTAATGATAGTGGACATTGATACAATTACTATATAGAATTGTAAGAAACGAGTTGAGAAATTGCCTACCTTTAAAACACTTCAAGTCTGATGCAGATACTTCCGTTTAATACGTTAATCAATTATTCAAATGTATGTTGAACAATTGAAACTTTGATTTGATTAACCATTTACATTTGCATCATTCAAAAACAGTTGCCTACTAAAATTATGCAACCATGGAGATGAAAGATTAATGTTTTTAATCTAGAAATAATTTATGCACCAACTTACACGTATATTCAATATGACGTACATTCTAAACTTTGAAGAAGTGCACACTAATGCTGTTCATCTTCTTTTGTCTGTATTATGCAATTAGAATAAATTATTCTAATCTATTTGATTTGACTAGTTTACAAATACAATTAGAGATTGTTTGTTTCATTAGAGAAGAGTCGAGTGTGTGGTTCGGTAAATCAGTTATTTTTATTGATTATGACATTTCTAATCATACAAATGGTTGTATACAATGCGTTATTGACGAATCAGTGGCGGGTTCATTTAAATTACCGTTTATTTGAAATTCAATTATTATTCCATGAAAAAGAAATTTGTACACAAATGCAAGTGTATTAAGATATAGGTGTGAATCTAATTTTTCTTTATGGTACCTGAGACGATTAAGCACCTACGTGATACAGAATGAATACGAAGTTAGAAGTTAATATTTCAGGTCGCTGAGGTTGAAGTGGTTCTGCTACAGATCTCGATCCGTACTGCTACTTGGTTGGATTAATCTTATTGAAAAACTTATTCTAACATTGAGGCAACCAGTACGAGTTATTCAGTTATCTTCCCATTGTGATTTTACTTCGGTTAAAAATGTACGTAAGGATTTGAACTATTAGCTAAATAGTAATTATTCCCAGTCACAGGTTATGTGTAGTCGTTTGATATTTATGAGGCTTAGTGAAGTAAAATATTCTGGGAAAAGTAATCGTACTTAATGTCTATATCGTGTTTTCACTACAAATTCATTTCTACCCTCAGTCATTTCACTACATTAGAATAGCCACTGAATCATTGTGAATTAATATTGTGTTTTCACCCAACTGTTTACAAATTACCAAATGTATTGTTACATCAAATATAATTATGAATGTTCCTAAGGTCCGTTTTAATGTTTACATTGAATGAACCTCCTTCTTTCCGTTTAAAAAACGTTGTTCTAACTTGAAATATACCTTTCGTCTTCGTTTCAACCATTTACAGTCATACATTAAAAATTGAGTGGTAATGTAAATCGAAACTAAGTCTGTTGAATAACTGAGGTGGTCGATGCGTTCAACTACTTTACTCGATATCATGAATTTAGACGTTAATGCAATCCAATTCTGAAGCAACATCTAGCTTCTTGAGGGAAAGAACCGCATTCGAAACATGTTCGCATTGTTTCTACTGTGCTGTGAAAATCATTCTCCAACAAATTTCACCTTATAACGGTATATTGAATCAACTAGTATGTTCAACGAGATTATTAGCGTTTAAATTGACTATAAACAGTACTACACCGAATGAAGTGTATTTAAAAGTCAGCAACAGGGAACTAAGACAATTTTATTTGTTTTGTTAACGCAGCTAATGCTTAGCAAATATTGATAATAATCACAATATGAACCTACTCGAGATTGAAGTAAACGCAGTTAGTGGCTTTGACCATTCACTATATACTGTTTCAGATAATTTTACTACTAATCTCATTTGAATTGTATAAATTGTGCAAGCAGTTAAATTCTCAATTTTTTGTCTAAATAATTCACTCGAAATATTTTTTATTAATAACAATGATTGTCTTTGACTATTAAGCAAGATTTCATAAGTAGAAGTTTTGAATTGACTTCCATTAGTTTTCACAACTGACCAAATGATCACGAACGAAGTGGATGTAATATTAGAGATCTGAATAAGTTTTGGTGTATGAATACTTGTGTTTAAAAGATGAACTAAAAAACAAAATTTGATTAAAAAGTAAAGAATATGTAAGAGAGACGAAGAAAACCGATTATAAATAATCACAGGATAGAAATATAGAGTCCGCATTTGTTTGATTTCCTATAAACGAAACGAATCACGTTAACTGATATTTATTTAAAGTATATGCCGACTACAACCGAACCCACAAGTGCACACAGAAATTAAATAACTCATTCACATAAGTATCATACTTTTCACAACCATTCACATACATAGGAATACGTACAACGTTATATCTCACACAATCATCATTAAGCTAAATGATATAAGATTAATATGATACAGCCGTTGGTGTGTACTAAATAACCGATCTGATTTTTTCAGTGTTAATTTATAAGTTGCAAAGAATCACAAGTACAATTTTCTACTCAATAGGATATTTCACATGCACTATAAATACATTACTATTTACTTTCAAAATCAGACCAAATTAGTATCACTTCGTTCAAGTGAACACTGTTGTGCTTTTTTTACTTGTAACTTTTATATATTACCACGAGAGTCCAGTTTACTTCAACAGTAATAACTTTTATTATTTCTTAACAATAGAACTAGGGTAATCTACAACTCAATACAGTTCAGACGAATGTTTCAAATTTATAGTTTTACTAAATGTAAAACTATTAGTGTTATGTTTCATAGTAGCTAGAAATGGAATTCATAAGACGTATCTTGATTAATTTAACACTAATCAGCATAGAAATACTGATGAGTTCAAATAGTGATATTACTAACGGAGAAATGTAAACCATTCAATAAATAATCCTTAATATAATGTGTGTAAGTGGCATAAAATGGATTTACCAACCATTAGACCAAAATCCAAGCTTATTCATATTAACACGTGTATGCTAAAAAATGATCTGGTTCTCAAGCACAAGCGAGAGAGATTATCCATATTTTAGATTAGAGCCAACATAAGCGATTTAGTTGCAATCTACCCTTAAATAATGTGAATTTATCCAAAAAAAACAGATCTTGAGTTATCTTAAATTTTAAGTTGGTGTGGTTAGTGGGGAAATTTTACATGCATATACATCTGTATTAAACTTTCAGTTAGCTTGAGAAATATATACGATCAATTAACTAAGTCGGGTACGAATGTCGACAAAGACGTAATATGAAATGGTGACTGATGGACTCCGTGATTTCTTTATGAGGGAGTGATGCATCGATGACGCCGAACAGCGACCAAGCTATTTTACAAGTTAAAGTCGAAGCATATAAACCATCAGATTCCCGTTAAGAGATCTAATAAATTTAAAAGATTGATAGTTCTCAATTTTTGAAGAATTTCAGACCAGGGTAAAAAATACAACATTATGTTGCTCCCTAACCTTTAATAATCCTTTAGTTGAGATGACAAACCGATTAATGTTAGACCACCATTGAACGGCTGTTTCGTCTTAGCACGGGACTCCTCATCAGTGCGCATCCACGATCCCGCAAGCAGAATTCTAACCCAGAACCTACAGACACACGCGCGAACGCCTAACCTATAAATCACTGAGCTGCCATCCAGTGGTCTTAATGTATAAGTTCAATCGATCCATAATATTGTGCAAACTTTTATCCATTGTCTGAGGTGGATAACCGTCTCCACCCGACATGGGTTGGACTCCAGTGGTCATGGCTTTGCACTAGAACTCTAAGAAATCCATCTTCAAGCTAATCGCTAGTGAGCACATGATAATTATTAGTATGGGGTTGTGGAGATTGTTGAGTTTTAATTGAGATCATGAACCGATCAATGTTAGATCACCATTGAAAACCTGGATCGATTCATGATCTCAATTTAAAAATAACAATCTCTACCGCCCCATATTGATAATTAGCTTTGATTATAGTCGTCAACATCATAAAAATTATATAATATCATCACCAAAATTAATAATTGTATTGATGAACATTTAAATTAATTTTCGTTTGAATCACCCTACATTAATAAGATACAAATCATAACATATGATAGACAGATACTTCACTTTCGGACAGAGCTAACACTGAAATAACCCAATTTGCTACTTATTGTTTCTGATAAATACAACCAGGTTAATATTAAAATGATTTGGGAAAATGGTACGTTTAATGAAATTTTAAGTGTACAGTTTAGTAAAGTAGTGAAATAATTTGAAAGGCTAAAAATTAAATGGATCCGAAAGTAATCCAAAATACCTTATTAACTTAATATCAAAAAACTAAGGGCAGATTTAATCAAATTCCTTGTGAATAAATTCAGTTTCATATGCTGTATATTTATATTTCACCCAAATTGTAGATCTATCAATAGTTGAAATTAATGTGAAAAAAAATAAAAAATGTACTTCATTACACAATTCAAGAGGTTATTATACAAAACAGAAAAGAATGTAGAATAGTTAAGTTAATGAAAGAAAATGTAATGAAGATTAAATAACGCAAACATTTTATCAGAGAGATCAATGCGTGATTCTATACTGTTGAAGATGTTAGATCCCCAGAACTCACTTGGTAAATGCCTTAATTTTATAATTTTATCTTAGAAATTTACGTTTCCTTGTTTTCGCGCCAAAAGCGCACTTTTCACATTCATAACGTATTTCCCACTTGGGAGAATCTTTAACGCTATTGGTCCGGTGTGTATTTTTAGTATGCTATTTTTGCTACGCTTCCCAAGGATAGTTTTCACTCGTGCTTCTGGCTTACGGAATATACTTTCCCGTTCCAAGCTTGGATTTCTTCATCTAGTTGGTGGAGCTGGGACGCATCAAACAGCTAGCTTATTGGTCTACGGTCACAAGTCTTTGTTCCGTTCGTATACTAAGTGAACTCGTAATAGCTTCAAACCTAGCAAATACTAAGACTGCCACATCAACAGAAAATCTGTACATACTTTTTGTAAACAGATTGTTGAAAACTTGTAACCTCAAGCAATATTGATGAATTTGCTCAAATAATCTGTTATGACGAAGAATGGTCAAATACACTGCTGAAAAGCAACATCGGGAAAAATTAACTATACTAATACTAACATTGTTGAAAAATTAAATCAGTACGTAGACATTAAATTTGGATCGTTTTGAATGACCCACTGGAATTTTATAGCTTATTTCAGGAAAAAGAATAAAACAGAAGTGAAGAGAGTTGTTTTATCTGTTGTAAATCTAAACGGTAAAGTAAAGGATTGAATTAGACCTACCTTCAAGATGATTAGTGAATAGTTTTTGCTGTTATTGAGAACTGATTTATTAGGTCTAATGTTTCATCACAACCTATTTAATGAATATAATTTGTAAAGGTTTGTATTATTATTGCATTGTTAATGTTCTTGACTGAATTTTGATCAGTCTTAGTTGGCATGTGTACATCTTGTGCAGATTTCCTTTGTATAAATTATTTTTTATTTTTTCATAGAAAAAAATGTTTAATTTAGGAACTAAGGTATCACAACTTTGCTGAAAGTTAGTTTTTCAAACTTACATCTAGAGCTTAGATTCTTGATATACCACGTACAAATTGAGCACTAGAACGCTAGAACTCTCCGAGTCACAAGTGAAAAAACAGAAGACGAGTGAGAAGAAATGTTATTCAAAACAGTACTAAATATGGTACAAAACTCTCAGGTATTTAAAGTTCTTAGTAAAAACGAAATCATCATTATAGTCATCTAATTCGCGTACAGTGGTTTTAAGCATTTGTACAATAGAGTAGTTGAGCGTCGAGATTCTGGAATGTTCCTTCAAAAGATTATTAGACAGAAAATCTTTGACTCTTTTCGAGCTTCTTAGAGCTTCCTCGAGTTCACCTGTAAGCCATCCTTACACAAATACAGTTCGCCAATAAAATATCTGACATAATACAGAATTTAAGTATAGCTTAACAGAAAAAGTATCTTGTCCATTTTCTCCTTCGTTCTTGGAAAACTAGACAAGTCATTCTAGACAAAACTAATAATTAGTAACTTGAAATTCGGTGACAGCAGTGACTACCTATCTATGTTTATTAATTGAAACACGAGTAACAAGAAAACCATGGAGGATGCCCCTGAACAAGAACTTTGAACTCAGAGATAACCCTGCAGTAAATAGTTATTGATATCTAGAACTTAGTCAGCGTGTAAATACTTTTTGAAAATGAGCTCATTCATAAAACCCAGAGCCGACAGGAAATTAATGACGACTAGTAATTCAGAAACTTCATATTCTATACCTTGTATAGAAATTCAAAGCAGTCGTAACACGGTATTCCATAAATCGTTCAACTTTTGAGTATTCATTTCAATCAAATAAGACTAATTAGTATCTGTACATTGGTTTTCTACAGTCATAAATAGAACTGCGTTAGCGGCAACTTTCCTGGTTAATGTTCAACAGGATCATTTAAAATCACTTTAAAGAATATGAATAAATATGGTTAGTTAATGGCTTTAGAGAAATATGGAATTTAAGTCATGTTTTCAACTGCCTGACAGAGTGGGAGGTAGGAAATAAACTAAAACAAAAAGCATTAAGTACCCAATCAAAAATTTACAGTCTCATAGTGAAATATTATTTACAGAATATCTTTTCCTTTCTATTTAGCGTTAAAAATGAATATATCAAATGTAATACACTTACTCAAAGGTAAAGTTTTTGTAGATATTGAAATATGCTGCCCTAAATAATTACCAAATGGTGAAATCACTTTCAGATGATACGTATATTGAGTTGATGGTGCCAAATTATAGAATGTATATTCTGTAAATACATTACAATCGTAAATAAATAATTACGCTTCATAGTGTTAAATTTTTACACTGTTGAATTAAATAAGGTTCACGATAACAGCTATTACTAAATTACTTACTTACGCCTGTTACTCCCAATGGAGCATAGGCCGCTGACCAGCATTCTCCAACCCACTCTGTCCTGGGCCTTCTTTTCTAGTTCCATCCAATTCTTGTTCATTTTTCTCATGTCTATCTCCATTTCTCGGCGTAATGTGTTCTTTGGTCTTCCTCTTTTCCTTTGACCTTCAGGATTCCATGTGAGGGCTTGTCTTGTGACGCAGTTGGGTGCTTTCCTCAATGTGTGACCTATCCACTTCCAGCGCTTCTTCTTGATTTCTTCCTCCACTGGGATCTGGTTTGTTCTCTCCCACAGTACGTTGTTGCTAATAGTGTCCGGCCAATGGATCTGAAGTATTTTGCGTAGACAATTGTTAATAAACACCTGTATTTTCTGGATGATGGTTTTTGTAGTTCTCCAGGTTTCTGCCCCATACAGTAGAACTGTCTTGACATTTGTATTGAAAATCCTGGCCTTGGTGTTGGTTGACAGTTGCTTTGAGCTCCAGATGTTCTTCAGTTGTAAATATGCTGCTCTTGCTTTGCCGATCCGCGCCTTCACATTTGCAGCAGATCCACCCTGTTTATCAATGATGCTGCCCAAATACGTAAAGGTTTTTACATCTTCCAAATCTTCTCCGTCAATTGTGATTGGATTGGTGCATTCTGTGTTGTATCGGAGAATCCTGCTTTTCCTTTTGTGTATATTGAGACCTATTGCTGCTGCCACACTGTTCGTCTTCTCCTGCATCTGTTGTTGCGTTTGGGATAGAAGGGCCAGATCGTCTGCGAAGTCTAGATCATCCAACTGCATCTTAGATGTCCATTGTATCCCGCGCTTCCCTTCAGACCTTCATGTCTTCATGATCCAGTCGATCACCAGGAGAAAGAGAAAGGGTGAGAGTAAGCAACCTCGCCTAACACCGGTCTTCACTTCGAACGACTTTGTCAACTGTCCTCCATGCACGATTTTGCAGTGTAATCCATCATATGAGTTCTGTATGATATTGACTATCTTCTGAGGCACGCCGTAGTGTCGAAGAAGTTTCCATAGTGTTGTTCTGTCCACGCTATCAAATGCCTTTTCGTAGTCAATGAAGTTGATGTAGAGTGATGAATTCCATTCAATTGATTGTTCCACAATGATCCGTAGAGTTGCGATTTGGTCTGTACACGATCTATCCTTACGGAATCCTGCCTGTTGGTCACGAAGTTGGGCGTCTACGCAGTCCTTCATCCTGTTTAACAATACCCTGTTGAAGACTTTTCCTGGTATTGAGAGAAGAGTGATGCCCCTGTAGTTATCACACTTGCTGAGATCGCCTTTCTTTGGTATTTTGATCAGAAGTCCTTCTTTCCAGTCTGTTGGTACTTGTTCCTCATCCCAAATCTTATTGAAGAGAATGTGGAGTATCCTTGCAGTTGCCGCTACGTCTACCTTTAGTGCCTCTGCTGGGATGTTGTCCGGTCCTGCTGCTTTGTCACTCTTGATTTGTCTGATGGCCATGCTGATTTCTTCAATTGTTGGTGGGCCAACATTGATTGGGAGGTCCGTGGGTGCTACTTCGATGTTGGGTGGATTCAGTGGAGCTGGTCGATTCAAGAGTTCTTTGAAGTGTTCTACCCACTTGTTTTGTTGCTCTTCAATGTTGGTGATTACCTTGCCTTCCTTGCTTTTCACTGGTCGTTCTAGTTTGCGGCGATTTCCAGAGAGTTTCTTTATCGTGTCATATAATTGTCTCATGTTTCCTTATCTTGCAGCCTTTTCCGCCGTCGTTGCTAAATCTTCCACATATTTACGTTTGTCGGTTCTGATGCTACTCTCCACTTGTTTGTTTATTTCCGTGTATTCAGCTTGTGCCTTGGCTTTTTCTGCTCTTGTTCGGCTGGTATTGATCGCTGCCTTCTTGTTCCTTCTTTCTTGAATCTTATCCAGTGTATCAACAGTGATCCATTCCTTGTGGTGGTGCTTCTTGTGACCCAGGACCTCATGACATGTTGAAGTGATTGCCTCTTTGATCCCCTTCCAGTTGCTCTCCACAGTAGTTACTTCTCCATTGAGTAGATCATGAAAGGCCTGGAACTTATTGCTGAGGACTACCTTGAATTTGTTGAGTTTGTTAGTATCCTGGAGAAAGGCGGTATTGAACTTTTGTGATACTGTCCGCCCCGTTGTCCAGTGCTTCTTGAGTTTCGATTTCATCTTGGCGACCAGTAAGTGATGATCTGATGCTATGTCAGCTCCTCTCTTGGTTCTCACGTCCTCTATAGTCCTCCTGAACGTTCTGTTGATGCAAATATGGTCGATTTGGTTTTGTGTAGAGTGATCCGGTGAAGTCCATGTGGTTTTGTGTATGCGTTTATGTGGGAATATGGTGCCGCCTATGACCAGCTTATTGAAGGCACATAGGTTTGCGAATCTCTCACCATTTTCGTTTCTTTCTCCCAGTCCGTGTCGTCCCATGATGTCTTCATATCCAGTGTTGTCCGTTCCAACCTTGGCGTTGAAATCTCCCATCAGAATGGTCAGGTCCTTTGTTGGGCACTTCTCGACGATTGACTGCAGCCTATTGTAGAGTTGATCTTTAGCGTCTTCACTGTAGTCGTTGGTAGGCGCATAGCATTGGATGATGTTCATTGAAATGCTCTCTTTCTTTGTTTTAAACGAGGCTTTGATGATCCTTGGTCCATGAGATTCCCATCCTATAAGTGCATTTTGCGCTTGTTTGGACAGCATCAATGCAACTCCTTGTGTATGTGGTGCATTTTCTTCTTCATGACCGGAGTATAACAGGAGCTCTCCTGTAGTTAGTCGTTGTTGTCCAACTTGTGTCCAATGTGTTTCACTGATCCCAAGTACCTTTTAGTGGCCCGTGGATCTGACTCCTGTTTAGAGCGTACGAATGTTTGTCGTCGCCTTTCCTCGTATATCATCGTCGACTTAAATCGCGTTAGTCCATAACGGAATTAAATAAGTCAATTAACGAGAATGGCATTTGAATACATATATTTTGTATGTAAAGTGAATGCGATAGAACAAAACCAAATGACGCGCAGGGAAGATGGCTGGGAAGCCAACTCCCATTTTAGTCAAGCGTTACTCAATATTTATAGTCAGAAAAAATAAAGCTACAGACATGTGATTAATAGGATAAGAAGGGCACTCACATATACACTCATATAAAAACAGTCTAGATTGATAAGCGAATAAATAACAAGGTCAAAGTATGGCTCGAGTAGAATGAATAAAATGGGATGTCCGGAAGCTAGAATAAGGTACATGGGTTTGGCATAATAACTGACACTACAACCTCTAGGTTGTATCTTCTCATTTCTGCAGCAATTTGGAAGGCTCTTCCGGTGTCGCACATTGTACGAACATTCCATGTACCTAAATAAATGGTCGATCTGGTTGTCAGAAGGGGCATCGGCCTCGTAACTTCCGAAGGAATTCGGTTTTCATCATGAGGCGTCATAATTCTTCTAAATGAAGACCTTCTGACTCCCAGGGCAGAGTATAAAAGATTTGAATAATTTTCTCTGGTTAGCGTTTTTTTAGCGAGTTAGTTTTCTACGGGATGGGGACGCTAACCCCATGCCCAACCCTCCTCCTTTATCCGGGCTTGGGACCGGCAGTAGCCCCCGGAGGGACTCCAGGCGGAGTTGATAACAGCTATTATCTTCAATATAAACAAATTGTAGATAAAAGAAACATTGAAATATTTAATTAAAAAGCCCTTATACCAACAGAAATTAATAAAAAGCGAGAAAATGTAAAACTCCTTAGATTATTGTATACAGAGCATGCATATTTTTTCAATAAAGCATTAGAACATTGCTCTTAAACAGGTTTGATAGTAGACGTGCAATATTAGATTTTGATGGATGCTAGAAACGAAGTAATTCAACGTAGAGATTTTTACAAGCAATTTAATATTTAACTCTAATAATAGCAGGGTTTGAATCGACTCCACTAATTAACTACTTGATTTACCGTAAAAATAACGAAAACTTGCCTTCTGATAAGGAATCCCAGATGGAACGACAATATTCTAGATAATACAATGAGCACACTAGATAATTAGACTACTAAACTAGATAACGTGATACACAGTTACACAATATCAAACCAAACGATTGAGAACCACATTTTGTTCACATAAATTACAGAGGAGTCACAGTGTGGAATCCAAACAAAATTACAGTGAAACTAATATTATAAAATATTTCACAATTTAGCACAGGAGGATGTCTATCTTCGCCCACTAGTTAGTGACGGGTCACTCGAAAAACTATTCACTTATAGACGTCTTTCACATTTATTAAAATATTCGTAGCTACAAGAGATCACGTATTACTGGTAATAAGCAAGACGTGCTTTTAGTATTTGTTTAAACTTAATTGCTAACTAAATTAACTACTAATAGAAACTTAAATCACGATCTAACTGACAAATTACAATCAAAACATATCAGTATGGGGATTTGTGGAGATTATAGTATTTTAACAGTTAAATTCACGAATCAGCCTAAACTAGACCACTACTCAAAACCTGGAGGCATTGGATGGAGCGTTGGCTTCCGGCTCAGTGGTCTAGAGGTTAGGCATTTGCGCACGAGACCGAAGGTCCTAGGTTTGAATCCCACGTGCGGGACCGTGGATACGCACTGCTAAGGAGTCCCACACTAGGACGAAACGGCCATCTAGTGCCTCCACGTTTTCAATGATGGTCTGGCTTAAATTGATTCATGAATTCAACTGTTAGAATTTAAACATAGTTCATATATTGCAAACTGAATTCTGCTGGAATTAAAAATGTAGCTTATTGAAACAACGCACTTCTCTCTTCCTAACACCAATGGGATAATAATTTACCTTAAACGAATATCTACACTAGATACCCTCCCAGTGTCTATTCTACAGGACATCAACATGACTCGGACCAAGCATATTTGATTGGTCCGACTAGAATGTGAGTATATTTCCACATCAACAACCGATTAAAATAACAATAATAATAAGGGTAGGAAAATGTCAGACTATCTACTAGTCTGACTAGGTAAACAACCAATCACCTACTGAACTCCAACTAGAAACCCATGAGTTGTCAGTTTAATACATCAAGGATTCATAGGTGGGCACGACCGAGTATACTCCTACTACGGAAAAACACTTACCGCTGATTCCAGGTTCTCAGAGGTTGTTTAAATAAACTCTTATGATAAACTGTTTAAACAATCTCCACAAATCTCTCCTAATAGTATAGTAAAACTTATTAATGTTTATAGAAACTATGGAAATGACTACCTGTTTCATTTATTGCCACACTGGTAATTAACTCAATGAAGGTTTTTTCATTAATTTGTAATAATTGAATAAGTGCCATACATTCATTAGGCACAGTAAATTTACTCCACTTCACTTTTTGAATAGTTGGAGACATATTTTCTACTTCAAAATGACTTTGAACGACATGTTCTAAGTTGATTAAATAAATATAAGTAAACAAATAGAAATGATTTGGATTGGAGCAACATCAGTTGAAATATAATAAAACATAATTAAGAGAGAAGCATAGAACCGCATTAAGGTACAATAATATTTCGGTTTATTATTTAGTATTTACGCTATGCTACGTTAGTTGAGAATGCATTATAAATTGATCGTGTTTATCTAGATATTATATAATCACTTGGAATACTTAAGATAAACATTTAAGAAAATTAATTATAGAAATAAACCAGTCTATGTATGGTTAATACTACTTAGTTAAATTTAGATTTTACGACCTAAAGGCATACCAAATGGAAAGCGGTTACCGAACAAATGATTTAAGGCTCTTGGTACAAAGTTCTAGCGAGAAGCCATTACCCATTGTTTCAACCATACTGAGAGTTTTTGAGTTATATCTCAAAGATGTGAATTACAATATATCACGAACGAACTGAAGTTGAAATCTGGATTTGAATGAAAAAGTCTCTATAAATTTCCTTTCTTACTAACAGAAATTTACTAATCTTATGATACAGAATGCCCATTGGACTGTTGTTAACATATGAATACATACTAGTAGTAAGCTTATTAACGGGAATTCTTCTGCATGATTATACTGTCGATAGATACTCATTAGTCGAAAAGCACTTACACTGTCGAATTTCTGAACACAGTTAATCCCAAGTTTAAGATATTCTATACTTCAGAATGTTTGGTTTTTTTCATAAATCATGATGCATGTTATATACGAAGAAAGATACTACCGGGTTTACTGGGATTTAGAAGATAAACTCTGTGAAATATCGCCGTTGAATTTCAGTTTATGGCATTTCCCGTTGACTGTTTGGAAAGTGAAGCTAGCATGATATTACAATACACGATATAGTATTCATGTATTTGTCGGGAAATGTAAATTTGATGTATTTTCTGTATTGTTTGTCTGAAGTCGACAATTATCGTAACCAGTTAGTTTGCTATTCATTTTAAGTAATCGGTTCTGAAAAACGGTAACCGGTAGTTTAGATATATCTGATATTAGACTTGTACACTATTATATAAACAAGATACTCTAAACACCAACATTAAGGACAGTCACAAATACGAGTAAAAATAATTAGAGAATGGATTTTTTTACTCACAGTTCAGTACGAGTAACTAATTCTCACAATTTTATAACCTGTTTAGCCTTTTTCTTTTTACAAATAACATTTATTGCAGTTAACTTGATTTGTTTATCATAGTTTCCTCTAAATTTTGTAATTGTAATGTAAATTTAAGTTGTTTCTTAAACGACAATAATAAATTATTTTTATATTTGTATACTTAGTGTAAGGCTAGATGAATTTGATGTTAAATAATCGCTGCTCTATTATATAAAGTTGGATTAAATTTGGAACTATGATCCATAAAATCCCTATTTAGTAAACAAAAAACACTGCATTGAAACCTAGTAATGAGGGTTGTAAATACTACTTTAAATGAAAAGGTTATAGCGACTCACGTGTAAATGGGTTTATTTTCATTTAACCCAGTTAAGCCCTTTTTGTTAACTTATTTAGCGGACAAAGCCATCCGCGCTATAGCAATGTATTGTATCCTTATTATTATTTTGAGCTTGTATGAAATACGTATGCTTGAATATTGCTTACTGCCTACGCATTTATTCACTCTGCTAGTCTTACTACTAACCGCTTATTTGATTCGATTACTCATTCATTTCACATGGTATATATATGTCCATGTTATTGAACACACAATCGCTCACTCGCTCGCACGGTCTCGTCACGCTCTTGCTCTGGCTCTCGCTCGCTTGTTTGCCTTTCGGCACAACTCTTCTATGCTTGTTTAACACATCTGTACATTTGGATATGTGTGTGGTTTCGCAATAAACGTAATCGACACTTCGTATTTGCCTTCTGATTAATATACCGTTGGTACGTTATATAGAACGGTTATCGCGACGAACAGTATACGAAGTTTAAGGATTATATCAAATACCGACCACCACAAGGTGAGTACTCACTCACTCTTAAACGTGAATATGAAACAACTATCCGTTGCGCATGGACTCTACATGATCCCCTGTATTGATATTATAATCTGTGGTGATACTCATCATCGGAAAAGTGTCGATGGATCCAAGCACTGGACAAATTTAGTATCTTAGTAAAAAGAATGATTTCATAAATTGAGTGTTAAATGTTAGATACATCCTAATGATTTTCGACTTTAATCTGCATCATTATTCCGAATAAATAGATAAAGAATATTATATTTATCCATGGTTTTCGAATCACGAACAGATCTGGGCTAGACCGTAATTAAAATCCGGGATACACTGGACATGTTTTGTTGTAGTATAAACTCCTCAGCAATGAGCATCCACGATGCCGCCAAAAGGAATCAAACCCAGAGCATAAACTTTTACGAGTAAAAGTTGATCACTGAGCCGTAATCCAGCGGTTTTAATGTCTAACTTGAATCAAATAACAGTTCAGGTTACTTTGTGATTTAAAAACTGAAAATTTTATAATCTCCACAAAACCATATACTAATACATTTGATTAATTTAAGCTTAGAAATTCAGTAGACATTTCATATAACGAATAGTAGGACAGTTCATAATATTTTTCTTGCACTAAATTAACATATTCATAACTATTCGGCATTTAACTATGCGGGTCATTCACCAGAATAATTTCAGACAAGCAGATGTATCATTGTGGAGCAATACACAAAGACGAGGTAAACCACTTCAGTAACTTGTGGTCTTTTAGCTGAACTGTATTTGACACTTTGATCAGTGTTATTATATGTTACAATTAATGTACAGTAGTTAAAACTACTGCAGTAAGTTATAAGATAGGAATGTATAGTCAATGGTCATATCGAGGATTAGCATAAGTTAAGAACGTCAACCGTTGGATTTCAACCCAGTGATCTTAAAATATGGTACTGACCGCTTGAATTGTAAGTTCAAAGTCTGAAATAGTAAGTGTCCACTTCTAATGTGTTTTAAACCAGGGCAAATAAACTGTTCAGTGCTTCCTGACTTTTAATGGTTCACCAGCTAGTTTAAGCTTATCCTGAAATTTGACACCAAATAATTGTAATCTGGTAAACATCTCAGTCATATCTTAAAGACGTAACTCTCATTTTCGTGCAATATGAAAATTTTAGATAACTGTTGACTTAATGACATACGTGGTAATAATGTAGCTGTAAATACTGGATTTGACCAATCACTTGATTTCATCAATAACATATCATGTGTTTTGATTTGTATAATATAAAACCAACATGATGTTAAATTTATAATCCTTTCTTTCAATTGAAAACAACTTGAGACATTTTTAATGATTATTGGTAATCTTTGTGGACTATTTATCAATATTTCATAGACAACTTTATTCAGCTGATTATAAAGACGTGGTAAATTCCAATTAATATCGAAGGAATCAGATGTGACATTGGTGATTGTGACATTTTCCGGAGGTAACAATTTTGAATGATGACAAAATTCTATGAAAATATAAGATTCAGAAAATTAAGTTTTTAAGAAACCTAAATTTCCGGAAATATCACTTTAAACAAAATTTAATTAAAGTAAAACATTTCTTTGAAATCACGATTCAGTGTAGTCAAATTCTTTGTATTGAATTCCATGTTACTTCATTCAAAATATTCGGGAAGATAACACTTTGACAAACTAACCAAAAAACTAGGGTCTTCTACGTCATACTAAACGAACTTCAGATAACGCTCTGTTCTCGCATTTAAGCTAGTGAAGACAAAAATATCAGGTTTATCTAATCAGTAGTAAACAAATTAGGATCTAGGACGTATGTGCGTCGATATGGGTTATATTGACTCATATTAACAAAGAAAGAAGTCAACAACAAAAACAGAGAATAAAGTGATATACAATAAAAAGCAAAATATGATAAATATAAGTTAAAATTAGTAAGCGATATCGAAATAAAGGTATGAAATAACATTAAAATCAAGACTCCGAAGACAGAAAAAGTGCATTCAGCTGCTCCAAAGAAATTATTATTCGACAGTATTAAATGACATCTGAGAACCAAGAATACGAGTGAACTGAGGAACATAAACTGGAATAATGCACACACTCAGCACAAACCAACAGAAACTGATAAAATGTAAGGCCTAAAACATTCTACCAAACGACTCTTACGAAAGCTACAATAATACATGGAAGTGTAAATCAATCAAAGATGGGCGACACTAAAAATTGATATCACAGAAACATACATCTTACCACTGAATCGATCTGTTTTGTCACTTGTCATTTGTCAACTGATAATAACAAGTAAATTACTATTATCATTAATGTCACTATGATACCTGCATGAAAAAACCTCAACCTTCTTTGAATGTCAGTTTCGACACGGCTCAATCAACCTATCATTGAATGTCCTGTCAAGTATTCGCTCCACATTGCAATTATACAGTGCACAACATAAAATAACATATGTCTGGATTGGAAATTGTGGACAATCCTTAACTTACTCGATTGATTAAACCCATCAGTAGTAGTGGTAAAATTTGTGGTGGCAGTGGCAGTAATAGAAAAATTAGTAGAAGCATCAGGAGCAGTATTGGTCACACCATAAGTAAAACTCTGATTAAATGTTGAACCAACGTGATCGCTTGCACTCAGTGCCACATTAAAGGAAGATTCTGACAGGAGAAACAAAATAAGGTAGAATGATGAAATATTTAATAAATGTAGGTGATAAATAAAGATCAGATTTCCTCGTCTTTTACGCGTTTTTTTATTGGTGTTTATGTAGGTGCAACCAAATGTTTTTCGTACACACATTTATCAAGTTCTGGAAAGGGTCAGTGTCTTTAAATATATCGTTTGATTGAAAACTAGCTTTAATTTCATACAATATTCATTATGAAAAACCTAATCAACATGTTTGTGAATATTTTTTAATGATTTTGAATCGTATCTCCGTTCTCTGAAATAATTTTAGGAGACAGCGTAAAAACATATAAGCAAATAACTAATATACTAGGCATAGAAAAATATGTAAAACAATATAATCAACTAAAAGTTCATAAGTAATACAGAAGCTTTCATACTATTTACTGATTTTAATACGCCTATAAACAATTCAAATATGACTGTATATCACTCTCTATATTATATATCGATATCATAATAAAGATTAAATAAGGCAATAATAATAATAATAATAATAATAATAATAATAATAATAATAATAATAATAATGTTTTCTTGTAGCGAACTCCATTTTATAATACATGATCGCATCAAACGCTGAATTAGTATTTATTTATTTGAACACAAGCATTGGTACAAGGAGGGCACCAGATACGTATGCGCCACACAATAATAATGAGAATGGGAAGAGATAAAAAATGTAAGGTGTGTGTAAAAAGTTTTTAAAAAAAATACCGACCACAAATTAGTGCATGGTAGTGAAATAGTAATAAAAATGGAGGAAATAGAAATGTACAACCAGAAAAAAATCATTCAGTTGAAGAAGTCAAGTTCATTTCTTTATGAAGAAAGTGACAGCAATGTCGCCACTGGCTTCTATTTTGACCCATATATGATAACGTCTCTAGCCACTGTTACATCATCGATAGGACCTCAACCAGAGAGTTGTGAAGGACCAACAGAAGCCAGTCCCGTACAGCTTTCTTTCATACCACAACACCATGTCATACACTGACCACCTCTTCGATTTTTCCAACCAGTCCTAACGTAGGCAAATAATGCACGACGAGGAATTCTCCAGAATGTCATTCGTAGAACATGTCCAAGCCATCGAAGTCGATGTTCCAAGATAGTGACACCAATTTAATTATCATCTCTGCACCCGAACACACGATGGCGAACTCCTGCATTACTGACATGGTATTGCCACTGGATGTCAGCAATCCTTCGGAGAAAACGATGATCAAACACAGAGTTGTCTAACATTCTCAATCCGTAGAGGCCAGGTTTCACAAGCATAGAGCGAAACTGCTCTCCGGGTGTGGTCTCCCCTAAGAAGGTCACCTGCTTCTGTTTGGGAACCCGAGCAGTATCACAGCCCTCACACAAATTTGATGAGATGACAAATATTTCACAAAATACTGTACTCGTTCCGATCAGAACTCAGACAATTCACTTTCATTTGAATTAGTAACGTTAAATAAAAATGTACGTAGTAATTAAAAGCGAAGCCTCTCAATATGTCTGGAATTTGAATAACAATCTTTAGCTAAGAACTATATAGTGGTAAAACAATCAGAAGGAAATTTAAGAGAAAATTTAATTAACAAATTTGTTGGAGTATACAAATAAATATGGGCCTAACTTGTAGTAGGATCATGTTCTGGAAGGAGATAGGGGATAAATTAGTAAACGATACGAATGAATGACACTGACTCACCACCCCGTCAGTCAGTAACAACGTAGAACTTCGAATCGCCACACCATATTAGCACATAGGTGCAGTTGTCGATTCAAATCCCGTCGTGGTAGAAGTATTGAGAGTATAAGCAGTGATCCGAAAGATTGGGGTTTGAAAATATTGTTCAAGGAGTATAATCCAGTGAAATAAATTTGAAAAGAGAAAAAAGAAAGGGACTTGAAGAATTCAGAAGATTAGAATTCGGGAGAACACAAAGAGTGGATACACCTGCTCATTAGCAAACGATTCTGAGCCATGTCATTCAGGGTCTTTAACCGTCACCACCCCGTAGATATATGTGGTGGGAATTCTTAATGCTGTGACACTGATTTTGTTTTTCACTATGTCAGATCAATTGTCGCTTGTCATTACCACCTGACATACCCTTGGTAGTGACAAGTAATGCCTCAAAATAGTGTTTCTATCGGGGTTGGCAAGACTACAATAGTCATATAAGTAACAGCATTATACCTACATTTATGAATTACAATTGTCCTAAATAACCTAAGATGAATTGTGTATTCTAACTTGTGAATAACTGCTTTCAGGAATGCGACTATGACCACAGTTCAGATTTCTTTACCGGAAATCTAAGTAACAGAGATTCATGTGATCGTTTGACAAACGTATGACAGTATTTTATTAGCTCTTCTGAATATATTGTCTTTTCTCATGTGTAAAAGCACCAGTGTAACGACAACACTTATGAACCATATGGGAAATTGCAAAAAAATGAGGAATATAAGAAGTGAAATGCACCACTAAAAATTAGGGTAATAGTTTTAGGGTAACTTAAATAACTACGGTTTCTTATACACACGAAAACTTTCGAATTCCATGAGGATAGTATCTTACATTTTCTGCAATTTGCAAACACAAAACTGGAAAGTATTGACAAAACTGACAATGCCATACACCTACAATATAATATTCAATAGAAGCAGCTAGAAATAACATAATCAACTATATGGTGCACAACAACAGCTTTTTGAATCCATTATTTATCTCTAAAGCTATCAGAAGAAATGTTTCAGTAATAGACATTTCATATACTTAAGATACAACTCCATCCCTCTTAATTCCTGATCTTATGCGATCGTTTGTAATGTTACTGCAGTAACATTCCTAGTGTTCTCAATTGAGAACTTCAAAGTCCTTGTTCTGGACAAAAGTACTGGATACATTACCGGGGAACTGAGTATATATAACAAGAAAGTAAAATACTGATATCATTAAGTAGTAGCATATGGAGTCTCAGATATATATTGAACAATACTACCCACCACAATCAAGATTGGAGACGAACAGTATCAAGTAAATATGCCAAATAATAGACATCAATGTACGTAGATGAATAAGTTTTCCTTTGAAAAGATAAGTTATAATTTCAAACCCACATTACCGAGAAAAGGGACTACATGGATACAATACACACGTCCAATCTATAAGTCAAAGCCAACGATGTAGCACCGTCTACTGACGAAGGTTACTGAGCTTTTGAAGGTCAATCTGTTGTACAACGATTCGTGCGTCACCTCGACAAATCGCAAGGTTTTGTAGAAGCGGTCAATTCAAGACAACTTCGAATTTGATTTGAATTAAGGTACACTGTCTGGTAACATCCATTCGTCAAGTGATGAAAGTGATGCCATGTGGAAGACCTGCATGCTTTTTTCCAGTGGATGATGGAATTCAGTGTGACAACTGCGATAAGTGGTATCAAAATGTGTGCACTGCACTCACACCGGCTGCATATAAAAAGTTCTGCAAGCCGCTGTCACGTTGGTTATGCAAAGAATGCTGTTCTACAAAGTCCCTGCTGATTCTTGAGGTGATTGAGTTACTGAACATAGCTATAAAATTGCCCTCAGATAAACAAACGGCAGTAGATGAATCAGATTCAGTTTTCAAAGAAATAGCGAGCGTTATCATGAACCCAGCTTTGGATTTGAGTAAGACCATCAAAGTGAACCCCATTAGAGGAACGGTTAAAATACATACAGATGTAGGCATTGTCACGTGAAAAAAGAAAAAGCATGGTGAGAAGAAACTACCTATTGACAGTACTAAGGTATGTGAATCTACGGTTTCAGTTCCGGATTCACATATCAACGCAGAATAGATTATGGGGGAGCAAAGCCTAGGCGGTATGGATGACATAATTAAAAGATATAATAAGGTAAGTGATTAGCTCATAGTCACATCCAGGAAAAGAAAAGTAGGGAAACGGAGTGGGACCTCTGTGCTTGACGCCAAATTGGTCTTCAGGAATTAAAACCCTACAGCGTGTTAAGACGGGCCTCGCTGACATATCAGTCGCTTCTCATGCGTTAAGAGAACCTTCCGAAAGGGAACCAAAAGCTAGATTTGAGCACGACCTCCTGAGAAAAATTTCGCAATATATTGCAGCCCGACTAGCTATGATATTCAATATATCACTTGACCAAAGTGTGTTACCTACAGACTGGAAGGATGCGATCGCCACTCCCATACATAAAATGGGACCATGACGACTTTCATCGAACTATAGACCTGTCAGTCCCACCAGTGTTGTAGTTGAAATACTGGAAAGAATAATCAAAAAGACAATAATGACATTTGTGAAAACCAACAACCTGTTAAACAACGAACAATATGGTTTCGGAAAAGATTCATCCTGCACAATAAACCTCCCAATATCAAGAGAGCAATGGATAAAGGCTCCAGACAACGGAAAATCAGTGGATGTTGTCTACATAGACTTTAGCAAAGCATTTGATAAGGTGCTGTTAAAGCTGGAAAATCTTGTCATTGCTAGAGCTCTACTAAAATGACTTAAGGATTTCGTAGTAGGTCATAGACAGAAAGTAAGAATAAATTCAAATTACACCTCCTGGAAACCAGTACTTAGTGGGGTACCGCAAAATTCTGTCTTAGGTCCTTCACTTTTATACTGTATGTGGATGATCCCTCAAGTATAGTTGAGTCCTAAATGTTGAGATACACTGACGATGTGAAAATCTGGTGAGAAATACCAGGATACACAGATGCATGCACACTTCGGGCAGACTTGCATATTCTGATTAGCTGGTCTAAAACGCGACTGATGCCTATCAACGAGGCACGGTGCGTCTACATGCACTTCGGGGATATAAAAGTTAATAATCACAGCATAGCAGAAGTGCTGTATCCGTGGTCTGGTCTTACAACAATTTTGGGGTGATGGTGAGTCATGATCTTAAGACCACAGTCCATTGCCGGGAGGTTGCAGCTAAGGGGTTTGGAAGCCTACGGGCTTTAATACGGACATTTTTCGTGTCGGTAGGCAACCCTCGTTCTTTTGATAGAAGAAACCAGACTAGTAGTGAAAAGTTCTTCATTTAGATCTTTGTGCAGTCACAGTGGAGAGTGGGATTACCTATTTAAACCCAAAAATGTTTTCAACATTCAACACAAGATAATAGGAAAAATAATGTCTATACAAATTAAGGAAGTGAATGAATACTTGAGCTCTATTGTTTTGACATATACTTGATCGTTCGAAGTCGATTCTTAACTAATAAACTTAAGCTGTTACACATTCACAAAGTTAAATACTACCATACTTACTACGGTATACTCAATCTTAGTGAGAACTGCGTTCAGGCTGCAAGCCCCTGTTTAAAAGGTGACTTGAATATCCTGGAAAAAGTGCGGAGGGCAGCAACCCATGCAATTCCAGAACTCCGGAGTTTACCATACCAAGAGCGACTTGAAAAGCTAGAGCTCTTCACTCAGTCCTATTCCAAGTTAAGAGGTGATTTTATCTTGATGTATAGAATGTAGAACTATGGTCTACTATAATATTAGTGCTGCTCAAATAATAGACCTAATCCTAAAATTGTAGATTTGTCATGATATAACTGCCTAATCTATAAGATCTTACGTGGAAGTCACATCATCGTCTACACCAACTCACTGTATCGTAACAACTACCAATATATGATGAAGAACAAGTTTAGGCTAGAGAAAGAATAATATATTTAATATGAATAAAAGATATAAGGTAATATTCAGCAGGGACCACGCCTGCATGGCCGAGCCATGCCATTCAATCAACTCTCTATCGTTAGGTATTTCTTCGCGTTAAATATTGAATACCTATTTTCCGAGCAATCTCGTATTCAGCTTTGTGGATTGTGTAGTTATTGTCCAATGCCAATACAAGAATACTAAGAAATGATTTTGGACCTAATATATTCTCTCTTTTCCTTCCCACTTGATCGGGACGTCTCAGAGGACATAGCAGGCGTGTAGCAAGGCCTAGAACGAATGAAATACTCGTGGCATACAGGTGTACACAGTGAGTCATCAATTCTTGGAACCTTCTACCCGAAGCTGTGGTGTCTGCTCTATCGAGAGAAGACTAAACACTCACAGAAGCATACTAGAAAAGGAAAAACACAGGTGTCCTGTCTGTACTATACAAATCTGAATCTATAAGGATGTATGACGTCGTTTCCGTTTTTAGCTTCAATTTGGAATGAACAGGAGGCTAGGTGGTTTATGGTTTTCCTGGCAATGTTGGGCTCTCAGCTGACCAAACGTTATTTTGAAAGCGTCAACAGATGGAGCTGTAATCACATGTTAAGGTAATAAATTCCATTCACTGGCGATTCAATGTAAAAGTCCGTGATCATCTGACACGATGTTTGTTTTGGACTTGTGAACGATTTTTGGAGTGCTCTCATAAATTTTCTGTTTCGGAAGACAATGAAAGCAAGGGCATATAAGATGTTAGATAATTTAAGTACTGTGGTCACATCGATACTGGAAATAGGTTTAGTTTAGTAAGGCATCATACGGTGCTTTAGTATTCCGGGGATAAACTTAGTTACTATTCTCTGAACCTTTTCCATTTGCTCACTTAGGTGGGCTACCTGGTTGTATGCAGAACACAAGGTTAGAACCAAAGAATACTGTATGCCATTCCAAAAAGTTTTTACCATCGATTTGGCTAACGGCTCTATGTATTGACCATGGGGTTGTAAAGTCTTTGGAGGTTATTGCTCTGTAGTATGCAGTAGTTTTTTAATCTTGGCTAACAATGACTCCCAAGTGATTGTGTGTCTGGACAACAGATAATCAACTGTTATTCACTGTTTATTTACCTGTACCTTGATGACTAATATACATCACGATGCACTTGGAAGCATTTATCAGCAACTGCCAAATTTTAGACCAGCCAAGTAGTTTCTTTAGGTTATTTTGAACCCCTCAATTATCACCTTTACTTTTATCGCTCTTCACGTCTTGACATCATCAGCGTATAGCAAGACCGATGATGATAAGAGACAGGGAGGTTGACTTACATACAGGAGGGGCTATATCGACCCTCAAACAGTATTCCGGAGCACTCCGCTTAGCAAAGTTTCCCAGCTAGATAACTTTCACTTCACCGGTACCCCATGTTGACGTCACATTGGGAAGTCTCTTATCAATGCATGCTATGTATTTAGGTAACATTTGGTCTTTAAGAGCACACCAGCTTGCACGGGCTACTAATGTAGACTTCAATGTACAAAATATCTCCAAGGCAATTAGTATATTGAAACACTCCTACACTGACGGACCAGATGGTATTCCAGCTAGCATGCTAAAACGTAGTTCAACATCTAGATACTACTAATCTCATCTCGACCTCCCAGCATGGATTTCTTAGGTCTAGATCATGCGATACATGCCTAGTAGACTACCTGAATGATATAACTCTGAAACGAGAAAATAGACTTCTTGCATCAGTCCTATTCGTTGACTTTAAGAAAGCCTTTGATAAGGTCCCACACGAAAGGCTTCCCATCAAACTAAAGTCCTCTGGAATAAATAACCCACTGTACTCATGGTTCGCTTCGTTCTTAACAGAACGTAAACAGATGGTAAAGTATAATGACTGTCTCTCATCACCTAGACAAATAACTAGTGGAGTCATCCAGGGAAGCGTATTAGGTCCACTCTTGTTTCTCATGTACATAAACGATATATATAACATCATAAATTTGGGGAACCATATTTATATGCTCATGATCTCAAAGTAGTATACAGCTATAAGCCTGAGACTCTAGGCGAAAGTGTATCCCAGATCCAAAAGGACCTCAATAACCTAACCATATGGAGTGAAAAAGGGAAATTGCCATTTAACCCCAACAAGTGTGGTATCTCGCACTTTGGAAAACATCCCTATATTCTGCAACTTTATTTAAGTAAAACCAGAGTCCAAACACTAAAATCAGTACACGATCTAGGAAATAACTACACAGGAAGCCTGAACATTGGAGAACATGCCTCCTCTATTATTTCTAAATCTAGACGGCTAATTAGTTTCATAACGAAAAATCTTTTCACAACAGAGGCTAGGCTTACTCTCTACAATATCTGTGTACAACCCTCCCTTGAATACTGCTCTTTTATCTTCTCTAATATGAATATCGCAGACAAGATAAGAGTAGAAACTGTTCAAAGACGTTTCACATGTCAACTACTA